AAGACAGGAACCACTCGCTATTGCGTGGCAGCGGCCAAACACCGGGAACCGGGCAGGGGCCAAACAACGGGAACCCCGTGTCGGCTGTAGGGAGAATGAACGGGCGAGATTAGAAGTTGAGTAAAAGTGAGGATCCAAGCAACACTGGCTTATGCAGGTGCGGTGTCCTCACAGTTCGAACCAATGGCTGCTGGCGGAAAGAGTCATGTGAGGTCCAGGCTCAGTCAACAAACTACTCGACACCTCAACAGAAGGAGACATGTACAACATATGACTGGTGGCAGGGTTGGGGGTGCAGTGTATTGTGGTTCATTATGAGATTCATGACACAGGAGTGAGTAGCACGGGGCGGGGCACATGGTGGAACCGCAGCATATGACAGGAGGAGGTGGCACTCTATACAAGAGAGGCACGAGGCAATGGACAATGGGGAGGACAGAAGCAAGGAGCACAGATGTTGGTAACATAGATGGGGCCGGGATATTGGGAAGAGAGTGACAGTCATGAGGAGGATGAGCCATGAAAGATGAGTACATGGTAGGGTGAAAATGGGGCCCTCACCATTACCCAAGGTGCCCTTGGGAACAGCAGAGGAAAAACAGACATATATGTCATATTCCAAGCGATGTAAGGGGCACAGCGGGGGGTGAGGGCATGCGGGAGTACTTGAATGGTGGAGTGCGGGAAAACCCTATGTTATCAAACCCAATGTCCAGGTCATTCATGGTTTCCTCCACCTGGCACTGCAAACTTATAAGCAAAAGTTGAACGAGGTGGGAAGAGGGAGAGCAGCTGGTTTGAGGCACGACTATGGTCCACAGTTGCTCTACGTGCTGCCCTGTACCCGAATACGGTTCGAAATGCTGTACACCACCAAGGGACTTGCGGAAAAAAAACGAAAGATCTTCGCAGCTACATGCCTCCGTCTCTGGAGGGCGATGCAGAGGCTATTTCGGCGCGGCTGAAGGACAGCACACTAGGATAGCACCGGTTTGGAACATTGTGCCGCATTTCAAAGTGGGGGTTAAAGAATCGCCACTACCCAAGGTACCCTTGGGAACAGCAGCTGTCCGAGGCTGCTGGCATTCTAGGCTCTATCAAGCTCTGAGCATGAGGTGCAATGGGCGGCGAGAAAACTATTTACCCTTCCTTGGCGGCAATGGATGTCCTACCAGCCCAATTATCCTGTTCGTGCGAGGCGTCATCGTGGAGTTTCTCTGTTCTCCCCTGGCACCATGTGGCACGCACTGCGTCCCGAGGCCTGGCGGACGATTGACAAGCATAGTGGGCGACCCTAACCAGATACATCCCCTGGTCAATTGGATAATTTAGGCAAGGGGGATAGTGGCTGGCATGGACAATAAAAGACATACCTGTACAGACAGGAACTAACAGCTACCATGCTCTGATTGCGGAAGCCCTTGGAGTTAGTGCTGCTCTGTGGTCTGGACCCTGGGACGTAATGCCTTCAAGATGCCTCTCTCGATTCCAGTAGACTGTTTCCTTGGTCCCTGGGCCTTAGCATAAACACGCACTCCTGGGAACAAGCTGCCTATTTAATGCACAATGGGCTGCTCTGAGGGAGTGAACGTTACATCTCATGCAGACTTTTGATCTTTAGCTGTGTTCAGTAATTAAGGTCCTGTCTAGTCCCTCTAGGTTACAGGGAGATAGATTATTTTGCGGTCAATTTGTTGAGCTTTGCAAACAAAAAAGTAAACAACCAGTGATAGTTAATGTCAGGATGCTGGCAGGAACCATGGCAACAGTAATTAGGAAGCACCAGCTTGCGCACCACTGCTTTCAGCATGTCCAAAGAGTGCATCTACCTTTGAAAAGGTATTGAATAATTGAATGGTCACTCAGTATTTGCACAGGGTTCGCAATCAAAACCATCCAAATGGGAGGCCCGAAGCATGGTAAGAACATTGAGACCATGCGGTAAAAACAATTGTCGGGTACAACAGAGGATCTAGGAAGATAGCATTTTCCACGTCTTTCTTTCGGACAGATGGCGATTCCGATTCTATTGCGGCAACTGGAGATCTCTCCGTAGCCACCGCTTCTTTCTGTGCCTTGTACCAATCCGAAAGGGCCTGAGTTCATCGATGCGCGGAAGTACTTCCATCAATATTTGAAATGGTCTTTGACCCTCGTTGGGAAATCTTGCGAAGTCCAAAAAGGTGGCTTATCCGAGAGGCTGGTTGGTGCAAGTTCTACATGGACTTCAATATTCTTATTAAAATTATATATATATTTACTTAAATATATATATTTACAAAACTGTATAAATAATTCTCAGCTTCCAAACGGGTTGAAGTTCTAATGAACTGCACAGGCACTCGGGCTTTATATTCATTTCCCTTTTTTCGCTTGCTGGATATAATTTGATCTCCAGGTTCACAACCAAAACATTTCTTTGGTTGAATTTTCAGATGGATATCAAAACCCCCGCATAACAACGCGAAACTCACAAGGTAAATAGGTAAGAACCAAATGAATGTAGTGAATGGGTAGAATGGTTTTTTTTGGGGGGGTAGATATCCAATGTGAAAACTTCCTATCCTTGGGAAAAGGAAGTGATTGTCGCAAATAACGCATGGTAAATGCAAACGGAAGTTGGTGAAAAATGCTGCAACGGCTGCACAACTACGGCACCTAAGGTGACCTATATTCCTCTATGAGGATGATGAGTGAATGTTTCCAATCAGGGCGGACGAATGCTGGCATCTCCGGTTGGAGAACGGATGCTGAGGGAAACGAAAGGAGATCTCAATGGATACGGTCATTGAATTTGGCCTCAGGATTTTCCTAAGGTACCAAAGTTTCAAAAGATGGAAGCTGTGGGGAATCGTAATTCTCCGATCCCAAAAACCAAACAACAGTATGGATAACACAAAAAGGAGTGGGATGGGTGGGTTTTTTTCAATATGAATGTATAAACGCAATCAAACAAAAACGCAAAGAAGATTGAAGTCCAGCTTGATCCAAAATGTTTCAGGGGAAACAAAGATCTGAAAGTACCCCGTAAAACATAAACGAAACAAGTACGTTAAACGTTCTACATGGACTTCAATCTTCTTATTAAAATTATATATATATATATTTACTTAAATATATATATTTACAAAACTGTATAAATAATTCTCAGCTTCCAAACGGGTTGAAGTTCTAATGAACTGCACAGGCACTCGGGCTTTATATTCATTTCCCTTTTTTCGCTTGCTGGATATAATTTGATCTCCAGGTTCACAACCAAAACATTTCTTTGGTTGAATTTTCAGATGGATATCAAAACCCCTAATTTAACTATCTGGGAATTCAACTCGCCAATCACAAACCCCAATTGAAAAGTGAGGGGAATTCCAGCAAGCGAAAATTGGGATACTACCAGCTAGGCAATGTCCAAGGAATGCTGGCATGCGCAGGAACTAAGGTTGGGGATCTACGGATGTTCCATAAGTCTGAAAGGGAGATACGGATGCGATCTGTCAATTTGAAATCATGTGGTGGGCTTCCAGATTGGTCCCATCTGCTGAGGTCGTCCGCCAATATGTTTTGTGAGCCTGGAATGTGGCTCACGTCAATTTCGATGCCTAAGATGGCTGACATCAGGCACATACGTTCCAGAAAAATGGCAAGAGGATAGGTCATACTCCAAAGTTTATTGCTTCCTGATTCTGCTCCACTGTTGTCACTCAAACTTTTTAGACAAATTGGCATTCGATGAGATGGAAAAAATTGGGCTGTCACAAACAGTAAGGCGATTTGGGCCAAGGTCTCGAAAGATGAAATGGATCTTTGCATTTCTGGTTCCAACTCAATGTTCAAGTTTGCAAAATCTGAATGTGAATAAATTTCTGAGAACCAATACACTTTGCCGGAGTCGGATTTGACAAATCCCCCAATTTCACATGTGTCACCAGCTGCACAGGCATCTGCAGCAGCAGTCCCAGGCCAGTATGGCTTGGGTGTCAAAGGCTTCATAGGGGATAAGCCAGAAAGCCATAACATAAATTGTTGAACAATACGCAAGCTCGAAGGTGACAGCTTGCGTTTGGTGGACGCGGGGTCTCTGATACGAAGCCAAATTCGTTTATTGGATACATGTACTTTGGCCAGATCGTTCTTGGTTTGAACAGTTTGGTGACGCACCGCCAGGAGTTGTCCACCAATTGGCAAGGCTGTCCCGGATGGACGGGATGTGAAAGTCAAATTGTCATCCAAATATGATGAAAAAGATCTCCAATCACCATTGTCAATACTGTAGTGTGTAGCAGGAATTGAATACAAATCATGATACCAATGTCGAATCCAAATTCGCATGTATGGCCAGAGCTGGGTTAGCCACAAGGCCAGGCCGATCAACTTCTCCAAATTTCGTTTTGAAGTGCGGGAGCTCCGCCCAATTGATCGCAAATAATCTTGGAATTTCTTGATTTTGGTGACCGGGATTTCGACAAAACCTGAGCGCAAGTGAATTTTCCATCCAATCCATTGTATACTGAATGCCAACTCGCATTTTTGCCAAGACACAGGGATGTTTGTGATCTGACTCAGGATACAGATCATTGTAGCCGAGAGTGGCATGCTGAATAATGATTGGAAGAACAAGAAGTCATCAACGTATAACAAGGCAACGTGTGACCACCAAACAAGGAAGTGGAAGAGCCTGAGCATCCAGCCACCAAGTCTGGACCACCACGCTGCCGAGAAGGTGGCTCCGAACGGAGCGACTCTATAAAAGTACAACTTGCCTTGCACCGTAAAGCCTAGAAGTCCATGTTCTTCTTCCCGAACGAATATTCTCTTGTGAGCTGACTTAATGTCTAACGAAAATCCCATATGGTCGCCAGAAAAATTCCGAATTGGGAATGTACGCAATACATCCTTGATGGAAGGCAATGTGCTCCTCTCAGGTATATGGCACCTGCCGTTAAGGCCGCAGATGGTCTGATCAAGAACCAGGCGTGGTGCCCTGCCTTCCGAGTGTGCGATGCCTAATTTGCCTAAGGCAACGCCCAATGGAAATTGTTGTTGCGCATCCTGTAATGATCCATCAAATTCAAAAACCCAACCATTTGCTATCTCCTGTTGCACGAGACTTTGGGTGAGCGCAATGTCATCTTCTGCGCTCTGCCAGTTAACATGGTGAGCAGAGAGCGGTGGCTCGGCAACGTCAGTAGGATCACTCATAGGAAAGCAATTGCTTGGCGTAATATCATGTTGAAATCCAGTGCCCACGCCTGCAATGAGTGATGGAAAAAGAGATTGGTCAGGATCGCGCATCAATTGATTGAGACATTGTAAAATCTCCAAACACATTGGTTGGTGGGGCCGAACCTGCCAGTCAGGTAAAAAGCCCGAAGCTCGCAAAAAATTATCCAAATCTTGCTTGAAAGGAGCCAAGACCGCATCTGAAAATGGCGGATGCGCATGCACCTCCTGAGAAAAATATTGCAACAAATCCTTATCCAACCGTTGATCAATGATTCTTCGCATCCACTGTTTCCGCAAAGGGCCAAAAACATCAGGGGCCGAACGTTCGCCCATGCTCCAGTCAGGATTAGACGGCAAACCGCCGCCATCCTCTTGTCCAAAAGGTGGTTGCAGTGGTTCCTTCTTAGATGGAATAAAATGAATGTCATCCCACTTCCAGTCATGGGAGGTCTGGTGAACCAATGGTGTAACCAGAGATGCAAATTTCGTGGCCAATGCCTCTGGGTAGCATGCAGTCTGGCGACTTAAATATTCCCCCGTTTCCGAGCGTGTTCCGACCAAGGACTGATGGCTCCCTGGGACGCCATCCAAAAATTCTGGGGTACGCAAGGCTTTGGGTCCTGGCCGGTGTAACTTTAATCTGGAGTAATGTGCACATGAAGGAGATGCCGCACCATATGCAACCTGACCTGATGAACAGATGCGCAAGAGTTGTTCGTAACTCCCATCATTCAGTAGATCCATCCGCTGATCTAAAAGGATATCAAAGGACAATACATTCCCATGCTGTGCCAAAATGGCTGCACTCAAAGGTCTGGTAGCACCGGAACATATATCCAGGAATAATTTGGAGTCCCCCTGATTGAAGTTAGGTAATGAAGGTGAAAGTAATGTTGGTGAAACCGATGGAACCTCCTGCTCTCCCTGGGTCATTTCGACTTCTGTCACCTCCTTAGGAGGAATGTCGGGAGAGACCGCCACCGCCGCGGCACTGATTGAGGCCGCTGAAACTGAAGGGCCTGCTTCGGATTGCTCTAGTCAGTGAGTTGTATTCTGATGTTGCAATGCTCCATGCTCCAAGCCGCATGCTTGTCCATTCACTGGGTAGGCGCACGCATGATGAAAACGGCATGAATCGCCTAAAGAGCAATTCCCGGTTTGATACCTCATGCACAACTGTTTCCACTGACCGTCCTTGGTTTTTGCATCTGTCAACCATTGAACCTTGCCTTTGCCTTTCGATTTTCCTTTACCCTTGGAGGGTTTGCCTTTGCCCTTGCTCTTGGATGGACCTGAAAAACTGGGTTGTGATGGAGCCGAAGCGATCTTCATTGGACGTGGCCTCAATTGCAAAAGTCCTGGCAAATCATGACGAATGTGGGTGAACTCATGAAGGCAATTGTCCATATCCCATCCACGCTCTGACATTAAATCTGCAATTGCAGCCCAGATTTGGCGGTCCGCTGCCTGCGCTTCTGTAATGGATGCACATCTCAACATGCTATCTGGGTCCACCTTCTGGGTCAGGAAGCTCAGAAATTTGGCTGAGTAGGCCTTGAGGTTGGCCAAATGGGCTCCACCGCACATTGCCACTGCCATGTCATGAACGGCCAACAGATTTCGGACTGCATTGACTCCAAATCCAGTATTTGATATATCAATGGCTGGTGGTTCATCCACCAACAGATGATGTAAGGAGGCCACTTCTAATTTTGGTATCTTGCTCTGTCTCTGGGAGGCGACCTCTTCAGATTTCGCCATGGTCAGTCTATATTTCCAGGGGATCCAAGCCCATTGTTTCTTCCCCAATTGATGGTGCACAAGGCTAAGCAGTCTTGTGCTTGGCATGGTATCATGGTTGACCAACTCAGAGGGGTAACTGGCCAAAAATTTGGTTTTCATCTGATCAATCACTGCTGCATCTAACTTCGGTGGAAAACTCTCCGCCCAAGTTCCAGGATTCGCCATAGGATCCGAAACCGCTGAGGCAGGTGCAGCCTGGTTATTGGTTAATGCAGGTTGTGTCATTTCTTGACACATCTTGAATGCCGCCCTCAGGGAAGCTTTCTGCAGCAGTGAGGGTTCTTCCTCCGGAAAAAACTCAGGCCACAGGCGATCAAACGCTTCTAAATTCACTGCAGCACACGCAAATGTTTGGACCGTCCAGCCCATCTGCACCAGCTGTGATGCAATAACTGGTTCAACGCCACATGCCGACATGGCATCCTCTAATGACTTTGTAGTCATGACGCAGTTTCCTAAACCAAGGAAAAAAGGACGCGAAGCATTCTCATCAGGAGATGAGCATGAATCCCTGCAATTGACGCTGGTCTTGATGATGTGAAAATCTGTGGAGTGGTAAAAAATGAACCCATGGAAAAAACACACGCAAATGACCTATCTGAACTGAGGAATGAGCTGAGTGCCGCACTGTAAGTCAAGGAGTCCTTCCTTGTCCATATGGTCATGGGGATACCTTTGATCCTTTTGTACCTCGTTGTTTTTTAAAAAAAAAATCTGTTTTTTTTAAATGGCTGCGGAAAAGAGCATATATTGAGCCATGAAGCCAGCACCTCAATATGGAGAAAATGAGACAAACCAATGTGATTTGTGATATCATGCACATCAAGTGTTGTGAACGCTGCCAAAGGAAACCCTACTGCAGGGGCATGAAATGCCTGCCTGACCGTTGTTTCTCAACCTTGAGAGGGCCACTCCGAACGCTTTTTTCTTTTTTGGAGTGCGAATTCCAGTCACTGCAAATTTATGGCTGCCCACACGCGCTTGCAACCTGCATGTTGGCAAAATGCCATAGAAGGGTGCCATTCATCCAAAAATTCAGTTTCTGAATGTCTCATACGCGCGCCACATGACGCCTTCCACAAATGCCCCATGAAAAGAGGTCTAGAATCGTTGCCGTCGTCCATGATCACCATAGCATGGGTGACCCGTCGATGGCGAGCAAACACAGCTTCATCCACTTGTATTGGTTCCTGTTTCTTGGGGTTCATCTCCTGAACCGACAAAGCATGTTCGGAACTTTTGCTGTCAGTGTCACTGTCACTGCTGCTGGAGTCCGTATCGGATTCTTCAGATACCACCTCGTGAGCCGGTGGAAGTTCCTGGGGTTCTTCATGGTGATGAAACGGAAGCCATTCAAACCTGTAGTCAGGTGCAACTTTTTTGTAACGCTCTAAAATCACTGTTGGCTCCACAAGAGGAAACTGTCCCCCTCTATGTTGTGCAGTTTTTGGCCTCCATCCTTGTTGAATCTGCGATGTGACAGTCTGTTGATAACGGAGAGAACCCCAAACGCTATCTCGACCATACAGATTCAAAGATTGTTTCTGATCCTGGTGATGTCCTTGTAAAAGACGATCTGAGTCGCTGACCAAAGTGCCCAGCTGTGGTCCAAAGCTCAAAAGCGTGGCTTTCATGGAATGAAGGGTGTAAGTCATCTGAAGTTGCTCTAATGGATGGTCCCCTTGAAAGCGCTTCCATGGGGTCATCAACATCGCTCTGAAAATTTTGGTTGTTCCCGCATAGTCCAATGGTTCAAACTCGGAGATGGTACCATCCGGTTGCATGGCAGGAATCAAAAAATCACATTGTGAACGTGGAATTTGAAGGTCCCTCATTAGCTGGTCCCATGTTTGCAAAAATTTGAAAAGCCAGGTGAATGTCCCTGTACTGCATAGGCCTGCTGCTTGTACCCCAAAGGGGTGGCCTGCTGCCATCGTCTTGGATCTCCAGACCAATCCACGTAGTTCCTGAAAGTTAAATACCAGGGAGTCAACATTCAACCTCTGTGCGTCAGCGAAACGGAGACCTGCCCATGTGATAAGAAGGAATGCACCCAACATCATTGTCTCATAAACTGTTGCAGCACTCTGGAGGACCCGACGCTCCCATTGAAAAAGAAGCCAAAGAGGAAGCGGGGGTGCTTCCCTCTTATCCTTGCTCAACTTGGTCTTCAGGAAGCTGTCGACCAGCGGGGAAAAACAAATTTGAAATTTGGTGACACCAGCAATTTTGTACCACCATCGCAGTGCTTTGATGGTAAAATTGCCGGAGCTAACATCCCGATCTGTGTCGCATGACTTGGATTGTTGCATCACTGTCAAAGCATCAGCCAACTGGGATTCTGACAATGCATGGATGTCCATACCCAACTGTGTCGTCACGCGTACAAACTTCTGCACTGCTTGCAAGTAGCGAAAAACTGTGGTAGCAGCATAGTTATTTAACAGTCTCTTGCGATGGTCATCAGCAAATGGTGAAGAAACCAGTGAACGATGTACTTCTGATGAATTGCCAAAAAATGCCAGTAACTCCGCAAATTGTGCTACCAAAAACTGGTTGTCACTCGTCAACTTGGAGCGAGTCAGCTGGATCGCTGTTGAAGGCCGCACGGAGGGGTAGGGCTTGTCCACCTTATCCCTAGTCCCTTTGTTGATTGGAGGGCATGGTAACGCTGCATCCGTGCTTGGGCACAGGTCTGGCATTGAGATTCTGTCTAAACCTGATTGTGGCAGTGAGCTCGAACTGGAACGCATTTGTAAGCTAACTGGATGGTATTCAGTACGAACTACCCTTTCATAAGGACATGCAACATGTGAAACATGGTGAGACAAGCTACTCCTTACGGGTTCATATCCTGGTATCACTGCCGGAGCTGCTGCTGAGAGCCCTGCCACCGTCAGTCGAGGTCCTGAAGGTTGAAACCTATTGTCACATGCCAGATTCCGTGCAGAAGCATGCATCACCGCAGGAAGTCTAGGTCGAAGCTCAAAATTGGGTCTACTCAAAGGACATGATTTTGATGTGGGTTGCAACAACTGAGTCGGAGGAACATCTGGGATAAGGTCCCAACTGTCTTCTCTAATCATCTGAGCTCCCATCCGCCACCGATGGAGTCTGAATTTCACGAAATCTGACAGTGAAGTTGTAAACCCTTGTAGAACACCAGCTAAGTCTCCAAATATCCGGAGGCAAAATCAGATCCTCTCGTTGATCGTACAGGTATGAAACTATGATGGTACAAAGCTCAGCACGAATTGGAGAAGCAAAAATGTCAATCCAGTTTGGGGCCCGATGTCGCAGGGCCAGCATGGCACACCCCGGTACCCGGGAGGTGATGCAATGTGAAACCAACCAGGAAATGAAAGTCCCATGAAATTGCAACCCAACCTGCTAAGACCCACTGGTAGACGCTGTCAAGTGAAAGTTCCAGACTGACGTAGCTGCTTGTTTTATCATTATTTTTTTTTCAATATGAATGTATAAACGCAATCAAACAAAAACGCAAAGAAGATTGAAGTCCAGCTTGATCCAAAATGTTTCAGGGGAAACAAAGATCTGAAAGTACCCCGTAAAACATAAACGAAACAAGTACGTTAAACGTAATTATTTGCCAGAAAATCTTGCCAGCTACTTTTCACTGATTGTTGAAGCCCACAGAGTTAGCGCTGCTCCGTTCCAACGGATTTTGGAGCCACGCTTGTAGCCCACAAAACCTGATCCTTAGGCCATGGGCCTTGGCAGACACAAGCAAGCCCGTTCACGAGCTGCCTACTTGGCGCACATGTATGCGAGCTGTCGCAACCCAATGCCTGCTGCTCTGGTTAAACTCCGTCCAGGACACCAGCGCTGGGACTTGCTGACGTCGGTTCGGAACAGTGTGCCGCATTTCAAAGTGGTAGTTGGAGACTCGCCATTACCCAAGGTACCCTTGGGAACAGCAGCTGTCCTAAACTGCTAGCACTGGAGGCTCTATCCAGCTCTGAGTATGAGGTACCATGGGCGGCGAGAGCACGATCTACTTTGACTTGGCATCACATAATGTCCTACCGGCTCGATCACACTGCGCGAGGGGGGCGTCATCGTGGTACTTCTCTGTTCTGCGTTGGTGGTGCATGGCTCAGGATCTTCAACGGTGGCATGTGGGAGGCGAAGTCCATCACCCTGGAGCAACCTTCATGAATTTTTCTTATGGCCACGTGGTTGGTAGTTCTACAACTCACTTAAGATCGTGCACCAGTTGGCAGGATGATATCATGAAAAAGGATCCTAAGCAAAAGTGTTGCTCAGCCTAGCGATGCTGCCAACAGGGCAATAACTATCAGGAAAAAGGCCCTCTTTGATGCGATAATCTGGGCAAGCAACAAGTGGGCACCAGTTCTTTCTGGGAGCAACCTTTATCCTTTGGGCCCGTTTACCACACCCACTCGCAGGGTTAGCTATTATGCGGGAGATGAGGGGTTGAACGCTTGGGTAGTGCGCTGAGGGTAACCATGCTGATTAAAGCGGAGAAGATATATCTTTTCCTAGGACATGCATGTCATCAGTAACTACCCAGCTTCTATTCTCCATCACTTGGGCCAAGTCAAGAACCTTCCGAGAAACGGAAAACGCGCTCGCGACCTACGCGACCGAACAAAACAAACAAACCCTAATCAAACCAAAACCAAAACTAAAACTGCAACCACTTGGAACCACAAGAAACGTGAACTGCAACTGATCAAGTAAAATTGAAATACATCGGAGCGGTCAACCACTCCCTTCTTTTTGTCGCGTGGATTTGGAACTGAATCCCTGAACTGATCCTTCAGGTTGGTGGTGATATTCACCTGCAAATGGACTTTGGCCTGGTGTCAGGCTCTGAGTAAAACTTTGTGCCCCCCGTCTCAGTCCAAGTCTTTAGATGTGTAAAGAAGAGCCCGGTGAATGAAATCCAAAGAATGGTCGCACCAAGTAATCAGTGAATCCAAATGAGCACGTACCCGTGCCACAATCGCCGAGTGGTAGGCAAACCCTTCAGCTTCTAAGTAGTCTTCACGTTCATCCATGGAATGGCGAAGCGCCCAAGCCTTCTGATGCAACAATGTCAGAGTGGCATAGAGGTGTATCATCTGAAATAGTGGAGTCATAATCAAGGAAAAGAAGCCAGCAGTGGCAGTGACGATATGAAATACAGAAATACGATGTCGTTGTCTTCGACAAAGCATAAATCACCTTGACTCACAGGGAATTGGGAGGGCGGGTGTTCAAAATTATTTCCCTAACCCTTGAACCTTCAGGCAACATGTTACACGTTGAGTTGAAAACTGAATCTTTTAAATGACATCTGTCTGAATCTTCCCTCAGTGTTTTTTTTTGAAACGAAATAAGCACAAACAGAAAACGAACAATGTGCAAACAGATTAGACAGTGAAGTGCCAAGCTGAAACTGTTCACAACAGCAAGTGTGCATTCCATCCTCTCCAACTTTTTTTTTTGACCTGACGGCTCAACCTGCTACGCCTCTAAACTCGCAACCTAAAGAAAGCAACGCGGAGGAGAGGACACGCCAGCAGGAGGCAGCGAGCACAGCAGAGGGAGCAAGCAGGAATCTAGAGACCAAGGGGCACGATCCCCACCCAAGCCCCCCCAGAGGCCAAGCGACTTCGAACAGACCCCACGGTGAACCGTGAAGGCCTATTCTCCATCACTTGGGCCAAGTCAAGAACCTTCCGAGAAACGGAAAACGCGCTCGCGACCTACGCGACCGAACAAAACAAACAAACCCTAATCAAACCAAAACCAAAACTAAAACTGCAACCACTTGGAACCACAAGAAACGTGAACTGCAACTGATCAAGTAAAATTGAAATACATCGGAGCGGTCAACCACTCCCTTCTTTTTGTCGCGTGGATTTGGAACTGAATCCCTGAACTGATCCTTCAGGTTGGTGGTGATATTCACCTGCAAATGGACTTTGGCCTGGTGTCAGGCTCTGAGTAAAACTTTGTGCCCCCCCCGAAGCGAGGGGCCTGACACTGAATCTGACCCTCACCACTGAGTTTTCTCAAACTTCGCATTCCCAACATGTTTTGCAAACTTTCTTAGCCTGTCTTTGTCCAGGAACTCATGCCTCGCCTCCCATAACTGCTGTAGAAGGCTGAAATCAAAGTCTTCCCACTTGCACTCTACACGCAGGTTCGCGTCCACCTGGCTGAAGTCCTCGTTGGTAAGTTTGTCGGCCAAGTCGTTTTCAGCCCGGGGCCTCCAACGCAGCTCCAGCCTCAACCCCCAACGCATAAGCTGATGCGTCATTTGCATGTTGACCAAAGCCAGTGGGAACTTAGTAGAACTACCCTTCTGGAGAAGGGCCTCATTCGACTGATTGTCTGTGCCTGCCGCCAGGTAAATTGGAACGGTCACTCTTTCTCTTCCTTTTCCATAGCCAAAAAGAACCAGTGCCACGGTGGTGGCCAACAGCTCCGCCGGCGCGGATGCCCAACTGCTTTCGCCATCAGGCTTGAACAGGTACGGGGCCTGCTCGGGCTCCAAACGCAGAGAAAACCAACGACCCGTGGCCATGTGGTGACCGCCCAAAACGACAACCCCTTGAGCACACTTCGCATCCGTTCTAAACTGTTCCTCCAGCACATGGACGGGCCTGTGACATGAGTACATAAAACTGCAGTCCGCCAACTGTATGGCAATGAACTTGAGGACCAAAACCACCATACGTGGTGCCGTGGCCACCGTTCCTTTTGCCAGGGCTGCTGCCCAGCTATACAATGGCGCCAGGTGTGCTTTCAGCCAAACGAGGACTCGGGCCAGGAAGGCCAATCTTCCAAGGAACTCCCCAAACCGGCGCATGTGCACCGTGTAACGTGCTGCCTCCATCTCCTTTATGAAGTTCAGCAACCAAAGGCCTCGCTTGGCCGTCACACCCATCTTGCAACGTCCATAGTCCAACTGAAAGCCCACAAACGTTACTTCTATCCCACCAGCGAACTTCGCATACTGGAACGGGGTACCCAAGGCCTCGTAGGCTGCAAGCATCATCCACAGCATCAAGAACTTGCGTTCTCCAAAAACCACTACATGTAAATCATCCACGTAAATGAGCTGGTAGTTGAATTCAGTCCCCATTGCATTGCCCACCAGCCTTCCAATGGTTCCCATGAGCCGTGTCCACCAGTAGGAAGCGCTAGAAACGCCAAAGGTCCCAACCTTGTTAACCCAAATGGTATCGGACGTTGAAGAAGCTTTGCAGCAAATGAGAGGGTGATCCCTACTCCGCAGTTTCACCAGTCGGTGTGCCGACTTGATATCGGCTGAAATAGAAAACATGGCCTCCTTTGTCTCGGTCACCTCTCGTATGACGCCAGCCGCATCTTCCGGCCCAGGGTATTGTAGTTGGTCCCTGAAAACTATCCTGTTGTTAAGCTGAACATGGTGGGTAGCATCGTGGATGGGACGGATGTCACCGTTGGGTTTCTGTATGGCCCCCATGGACGCCACTAGCACTTCCCGGTCAGGATGCTTTGCTTTCAAGGCCGCCAGCGTAGTTGGGTACATTCTACCCAGCTTTTCTTCTTCTTTAAATTTGTTCTCCATCTCCTCTGCCACCAGCTCCGCTGACTTGTAGTTTTCTGAAAAGGGGGTGTAGTCTGAATCGTCCAGCTTGCGATGTTTCTCCTTCGGTGGGAATACCGCTGGAACTCTGGGCAGCGGCTCATCCAGCCCAACCGGAACCCCCGTTGCATACGACTCTTTGTCCTGCACCAGCACCCGATAGTCCGGGTCCTCCATGACCTCAAGCGTTTGTGCCAAAAGGTGAAGGAAGAAAGGTTGGCCTTCCGGGAGCTCCCTGGCACTGGCCGGAGATGGCAACAACTGGGCCCAGTCTTCCCTAAGTTTCTGCAAAGCCTTTTCTGAAAACGGTGAACTCTGCAGCCTCCCCAAAGCCAGGTGGAAGGCTTCTTGTCTCAAGTCACCGACCTGGGACACCACAAACTCCTGCAGGAGCTCTTTTAACTTTAGTCCCAGGCGCCGCGCCTCCATTCCAAGGTAAGCACCTCTATTCTCTGGGCGCCAACGGTTTGCTGAGCAAAGACCAAACCCGTCAACAAAAGGCTTGGCCCGACCACCCCATTCAACCACCAACGGCTTTCCCCTGTTACGAGCCTCTTCCAGCCCGCCTTGAGTTGGTAGCTCATTTGTGTCTGAATCGACCGTCCCAAGGTCTGGACTGTCTGCCGCTGTAGGGGTTGTAGGTGTTTGTCCAGTTTCTGCAGGATCCCTAGTAGGAGAGCTATCTGCAGCCATAGTGGTTGTAGGCTTCGTCCCAGCGTCAGAGCCGAGTGAAGAGGCCTGTGTGCTCCCCACCCGGCTGGCGATGAGCTCGGCCAGGTACTTGCAAAGCGCCGGGGGGTAAGCTGCAGAACCCTCGGTGGCCCATTTCCCACTTGGCAGTTGGCCCAAAAGGCGTTTGGCATGCATGGAGTGTCCACAAGACGTAGGCAGGGGGCCCAAGTACTGTCGGTCCTCGTCGAAAACTGGCCAGGTGGCATGTGGAAGCTGCTTGCAAGGCTTGAGTGTAGAGAGAAACCTGGTTGGCTTGGGCGATGGCGCGTCAAAATGACACTGGAAAACTGCCCAAGTCGTGGCTTTCGTGGCTTGCTGCAGCTGTTGCATAGTTTCCCACTGCCAAATACTAGCAGGCCATTCACCATGGCATGCCCCTAAATCTTCGGGATGCTCGATCAGAAAGTCGGCATTGCATTGGAAACACTTGTGTGCCGTGGCGATGGTCTGGTCCACCAAATAGTTGTGATCTTGTGTCAGCTGCAAATTTGAACCTGTAAGCCAAGGAAACCCTCGAGGCCAGTGAAAATTCCGTAGTGGCCGTGGGCCGGGCGAGGTTTTCCAGTTGAAACGGACCCTGCTAAAGGTATTGCAGGGCGGTGACATGACCACCACATCCCATAATCCAGCTTCTAATTCTTGAAAAATCTTGTCCCAAAGTTGACTGTTTAACAGATCATCTGAGGCCTGTCGTTCCACATCGACCTCGGTAACATGCAAAGAAAATTGGTGCTCCAAGCCAAACTCCTGGAGGTAGTGCTTGACGTCTGCCTTGCGAGGCTTCCCACAAAACAAGTACAGCACCCGCAATGTGGGTTTGCTGGTGGGTGCTGCTGCAGGCTGTCACTCTGCTTTGTTGGTGCCCTTTGGAGGATCTTTGCAACGATCGTGTTCCCGGGCGGCGTGTTCACCATAACAGCCTTTGATACGACAGATGTGTAGTCTGCCGCACCGCCCTGGACAGCCTTGGCTGTTAAAGGCAAAGCATATTTCACGTCCGTCCGGAGAGTGGGTGACAAGTTGGTGTTCCCCGTGTTTTCCTTTTGACTTCCCTGATGCTTTTCCTTTCCCTTTGTCAAATTTTCCTCGCGCTTTGCCAAACCCCTTTGACTTGCCCTTCTTGTTGTCGTAGGGGTTGTTGTAGGTGCGTTGACCGCCATGCCGAGCTGGGTCGTGGTTGGTCAGAGCCAAAGGGGTGGTAAAGTATGACTCCTTGAGTTCAGCATCCTTTGTGACGGCCTCCAAGGCCTCTGCCAGTGTCTTCTCCCCTTTGTTGACCAGCTTGAATGCTTCTCGTCGCAGGCGGTGCTCAAATTGCAGCACCAGGGCAAAAGGTGGACGCAACGGTTGCTGCTGTCCATCGACAGGCACTTTGATGCCATGTACCTTTTCTCCAAGTACGAACTCCACAAAGCGATTGAAGTCCTGCATCTTCAAACCTGCCAAGAAGTGTTTCGACTTGAATTTGGATGACATACAAAGCCAAGTAGTGGCCTCCAGCTTCATCAACTTCCGGTACTCTTCTGTAGTCTCTGGAAGCCGGCCTTTGGATTTTGTCTTGGTAATCCGAACATGGCCCGTGCTATCCAGCGAAGTCTGCAGTGCCGATGTGTTGCGGTCGGCCTTCGACGACACTTCATCCAAGCTTGCTGCCGTACACTCTCCGTTCTCGCACTCTTCAACCTTCAAGGCAAGGTACTCTGCACTGGGCGTCTCGTGGTCGGTGAGATGGCCTAAAACCTTTTCGACTGCTTTGAGCATTGCCAACCTCTCGCTGTGTTGGAGATGACGGGGTACGCCAAGAACTTTGCTCTCGGCTTGGATCTCTTTCTCCTTTGTGTAGAGCTCCTTTCCTGCGTTCCAAGCTGCGACCACTTGTGCGACTTGTGCCCGCACGGCTGGGTCTCTGGCTGGGTCCAAGTTGAAGTCTGCTTGGACTGCAGTCCGCACATCTGCAGAGTTTTCCCCCAAAGCTGTGAAGACCCTGAGCGACTTGTAGTGCTGGGCCATATCGTATTGTAACGCTAGTGGGATCTCGGCATCATCCCAAACATACTGAAGGTCTGAGGTGACGTTATTTCGCAGATATTCTCTGCGGTCATCGTCAGTTGTTGCCATTGCTGAGACTGAAGCTAAAGCTGAAAAGTCTCGGGTTGTTACCCGCCTTTCAAACTCCAATGTGTGAAGAGGAGAAGGGAGAATGCCGAGGACGCAGGACAAACCAAACCACCTAAAATAAGTCAAATTTGTCAGATCATGTCACTTGCTGCAAACTGAAAATTCCTTCTTTTCTGACTCTGAGCCTTCACGACAAGTAAACACACTGATTTCCCCTGCGCTTCTCCAAACTGTTCTTTCTCTGCTTCTTTGCGTTCTTGAAATCAAATCTTTGCGCTCTTGAATCAAATCTGTGAAGAGGAGAAGGGGAGAATGCCGAGGACGCGGGACAAACCAAACAAATAACTTAAATAAATGCATTTTCACTGAAGCGTGCACGATCGGTTGATCGGTTTGCCCATGGCCACTGAGCCTTTAGCGTCAATGCCCTATTGCCACTAGTCCGTGACTGCAGCAGACATGAAACTAAAACTGTAATGCATCAGCATCCTAAGCCTTCTGTCTGAGACAGCACATTTGCAATTTGCATACTGGGTGAAATAAAAGTTGAATGAAACTCTAAACCAAAGGCTGCCACTCCGATGCCTCTTCAGCCTCGGCCTCGCCTCCTGACGTGTTCGTCGAGGAAGAATCACCTGAGTCACTTGAGGCATCATGGTCGGCTGTCATGCATCCCAACTCATCTGAGATTCTACGTTGACAAATCTTGCAAATAGCATCATAGGCTGCGTCCCGAACATTGTCAACATCAGTGGAATCAATGCATCTGTCCGAACGCACTGGGCATTTCCCGTGCATGTGTAATCTCCTGAACCCTGTCCTCCTCGAGGTCGTGATGAAATAGCCCACCGAGGTTTGGCTCTCAGCTGCCTCTTGCTGCACTGCTTCCATGACCTGTTGTTTCTCTTGTGCATCGACCTGTTCACCATCTGAATCCAATGCATTGAAAACCTCACCAGCCTTGGACCTCCTGTAGTCATGTGTGTGGCGTCTCCTGACTCTCTGTCCTACCAACTCATGTTTGTCTGCAAAGTGCATGACATCTTCTAACAGTTCTGATTCGTCTAACACTGGGGCGCCCAACACAATCGCATCCCTGACCAAGTGCTGCACCTCTTCCACCACTTGGCGTGATGTATGCAAGTATGCATTGCTTCCAGTCCGTCCTATCGACCACCTGCCAAGGAAGTCACGCTTTGTTTTGTCCACTCCAAGTGAGGCCGCTGCTTGCGTAAGATAATGACGTGGGCTGTGGCCTGTCCAGAAAAGTAACATGGCCCCTAGCACCAAATCCATCGCCTGGTTCTGACGCCAGTGCCCGTCTTGGTAGCGTGGCGTTCCCAGTCTCCCCAGAACAATCCTGAAATAATTTGCCATGGCCGGTGGTTCCATGATCTTGTTCTTAAACATGGTCCAGTTCCTACCTGGTGTTGGAATGAAATAATCCCGGGGAAACATGAGGTCTTCCCGCTGCAACATCTGGAAACCTTCGATGAGCCAGTCATATCCAGAAATTGTAATGTCTCTAGCCACAAAAGCGCAAATAGGCCCATGCAGTTTGGCACCTCCCGTCGTCTTTGTCCTCGCCATCCTGAGCGTCAAACCACGATTGCTAAGCCAAGCCTGACAGTTTCGGGCATGACATTTTGCAAATCGTCTACCCTCATAGCAGCCCATGTTGAAACCAGCATGCACCATGCGATTAACCTCAGACAGAATTCATGGTCCATCTCCATGACAAACAACTCCAGTGCTAACAGAATGGCTGTTGTGTAAGGCTTTGCAGCTTTCGGGAAAGAGTTTGTTGCCAGTTCTTGTTTCCAACTCTCAATGTGTGCCTTCCACAGCGGGTCCCTGGACAGCTGTTTGCTATCCGAAATCCGTCCAGCCTGTTCTAAAACAACCAGGGCAGCCTGAAACTCTGAAATGAAGCTGAATGTCACCCCATTTTGAATGTGTTCCTCAACGTAGTGTATCAGGACATCCAAGCCACCTGGCCAAGTCTTACCTGAATATGCCACAAGCCAAGTGCGAAAACGATTCCAGGACCTGTATCTGTTCCTCAAGGTCTTTGACCGTCTAGCGCCAAACAGCCGTAGCCAGGCCTTGTTCGGGTCCTGTAGTGCCGCTATCTGGAGACTCACCGGCAAAACGGCTTCCTGTAAGATGCCTGCCAGTTCCAGTGCATATTTGTCCCTTTCTTGCTGCTCTCTGGCTGCTCTCGTCTCCGGCCCTTCCCCAGAAGCTGTCCTACGTTGGGTGCGTTTAACTGTATCCAACATAAAACGGGGGTCTTCCTTCATGATCTGCTCAAAGGTTTCTTGCACAGTGCCCGCTATGTCCCGTTTGGGATGCGAACAAAACTCGAAACTGAGTTTGCAGTCAAGGATACGCTGCCTTTTAACCTGTGGTCCATACTCTGCGTGCCATGCAACCAGTCTCTCGACACTCAACTGTCCAAAATCAGCCCATTCCGTTTCTGTCAGCACTGATTGCAGCAGCTCTTGGGCTCCAGCCGCGTCATCAAAAGAATACCACAGGTACTTAAGATCCCCATAAATTCCTTCCAGCCTCTGCCTGAAACTCTGTTTGATCGGAAGATCACTCCAATTCATGTATACGTCGGAGATTGCAGCGCGTCCCAGACTGTTCAAAATTATTTCCCTAACCCTTGAACCTTCAGGCAACATGTAACACGTTGAGTTGAAAACTGAATCTTTTAAATGACATCTGTCTGAATCTTCCCTCAGTGTTTTTTTTTTGAAACGAAATAAGCACAAACAGAAAACGAACAATGTGCAAACAGATTAGACAGTGAAGTGCCAAGCTGAAACTGTTCACAACAGCAAGTGTGCATTCCATCCTCTCCAACCTTTTTTTTTTTGACCTGACGGCTCAACCTGCTACGCCTCTAAACTCGCAACCTAAAGAAAGCAACGCGGAGGAGAGGACACGCCAGCAGGAGGCAGCGAGCACAGCAGAGGGAGCAAGCAGGAATCTAGAGACCAAGGGGCACGATCCCCACCCAAGCCCCCCCAGAGGCCAAGCGACTTCGAACAGACCCCACGGTGAACCGTGAAGGCTTATTGGCGTCCGAGCATGAGCAGGGAAAGGTCATCCATTCATTATTTTTAAGAAATGCTTCGTTCGAAAGGGAAACAATGTGGGTGGCAAGTAGCGCTGAAAGGTAGTATTACTCAGCGTGACCTGCAGCACCTTACCATGAGGATGGCACTCGAGTAGGACGACCCGAAACTAATGACTCCAAAAACGCACCTTGAAACTTCATGTGCCGTGGAAACAATGCGCAGGGAGATCGGAGGGTCGAATATATAGTATGGGACAGGACTTATCGACGGACAGACGACAAACGGGGTTCAAGGGCAGCAACAAGCCACACCTGCCTTTGACGTATTTTATATCGGTCCGAAGGAGCCTTAGCAACTCGATGCGGGTCACTGAAAATGTTTCTCCATTACCCAAGGTACCCTTGGGAACAGAAATGGTCATATGGCAGTTACATAGCGATGATCTCACTTCTAATCCATCCTTTCAGGGCAAAATGTTGCACACGATGCTTTACGATGCCTGTGTTTGCTAAGGAGCTGGAGTACTGAGAGTATTGTAGTGTTTTTTTTTTTTGGTTTTTTTTTTTCCCCCACCTTTTCCCCAGGGTGGGAGGTTGATTTCCACTGAACACCCAGAAAGAGGCAAACAGGAGGTAAAAGCATAGTGAAGCGATGCTGCTGGATGGACTTTTGGTCAACTGGGAGGTGGACATAGTCGTCTTGAGCAGTTACTACAGCCTGTCAATCTATTAGCATTTGCAGATTGGTATTTGAGCTTAGCCGAGTTTCCGCGGACGGCTGACCCTGGGTCCTCTCCACAGGACTACTTAATCCCTTGCAGTGCCATATCATTAGTGGGCCGCAAATCGTCGTCCCTATTTTGAAATCCTCCAGGTAAAAACTGGTGCGCATGTACCTCTTTGGGCTCGTAAGCTGAGTGAGGGAGTGGGTCATTGACTACCCGAGGCTAAGGGTTTAGTATTATGATGTCCCCATGGGTCTTGCAAAGGTGGGGAGGGCTACCCAGGGTACCCCTGGGAGCCAACCCCACCGGACAAGACCAATGTACATGAGGCATGAGAACTAACTCGGCAGAGGGTGGGTACAGATAAGGTAGTGAGCTGATGAGGGCTACCTGTGAACAGTTGGTTTCAATCAGCAATAACTACGTTGCAGCAGCAAATAGCTGCCTGGGGAGTGGTAGGCTAGGTCTTAGGGTTGGTCTTGATTTTAACTCACTCCCGTCGGGCGTTCGCGTCGAGCACGCAGTTTGGCAAGGGCTTCCAAAGGCGTGGCGCAGATATGGGGCGATCCTTGCGCACTGCGGCGTTTACGTTGGGAGTTGTGGGGTGCGCGACGGGTGAGGGACAGGGCATGGCTGCTGGCGGTATGCTTGAGGGTGTCTACATATGCCTCGCGTGCTGTGCTGAGGGAGGTCACTTTAAACCATGTCTGACCAAGGTAAAGCTGATGATTGGATAGCACTTCTTTTTCGATCTGCCTTAACATTTGTTCAGGGGGCGGGGGAGCAACCAAGAAACCATCGTGTAGCCACACCAAAGATTGCGTTGGGTGGCGGGCAATAAGTGCACGAATGGTGTCCTCAACAATTGTGGCCTCAAAATGCTCTAGCAATCGAAAAGCGCTGTCATTATGGTTGACCAGGAAACCTGGGCGGAAACGCGGTAGCAATTGTGTTGTCAGGGTTGTACTTAGAGACTCTAGTTGGCAGAGGATTGCGCTGACATTCGCACTGGGGGAGTCATCAACCAGAGAGCTGAGATATCGGTATGTAGTAGCTAGGGAGCTATTGATAATTCTCAATGGGAGTTGCTTGATGGTGTCAGGGCAGACTGCTTCAACTTGCTGAATATACGGGTCTCGGGCTAGCTGCGCGCGGAACTCATCGATAGTTGGGAGGGGTACAAAGTC